ACAGGGATGCAAGACTGGGAGGGAGCTGGAACCTGGTTTCTGCAAAGCCGTGATACTTGGCTCTGAATGCCTTCCTCCCTTAGCTCGGAGCATTCCCTGATGGAAGATGACACGTGAAAGCCAAATGACAAGCAACAGAGAAACAGTACCAGCCCAGAGGCTGGAACAGACACTCGGTCTAAAGGCAAATTTCCTTTTATCAGGCACTGCTGAGCAGCAGTAGAACAGATGGGAAAAAGCCTGTAATAGGGAATTTTCAATGGCTTGATTGCATTACTGACCGCAACGCTCCTACTCTCAGGCCAATGCCCGCATTCAGTAGTTATGAGAGGCAGACAGACCAACAGCCTGGCCTTGCTGAGCCACTCTTCTGTGGAGCTGGGAATAGTTGCTGTGACTCGGACTGTTTCAGTGGAGGACAGAGTTGGGAAGAAGACGTAAGTTGCAGCATAATCCCTGGGGGAGGTGTTTGAGTTACCTATCCCCAAGGAACTACATAAAATATGAGGGTAGAGGAATATGTTGTAATACAATATTCTCCCCCCATTGCCAGGTGCAGAAAGAGGATTACAGTAGTTTTCCAGTTGGCATTTGGCCTCTCCACCTCTCACCATGGCCTTTGTTGCTTCAGTTCTAGATTACTTCACCAGACTGATACACAGAAAATATTTAGCTGGTGCAGGACACCATACCTACTTCACTGGACAGGTTCAGGTGACGCACACATGCAGCACTTGCGATCCCAGCTCTGTCTGGTTCTAGCGTCAGTTCTAGAAACTGAGTATTAATACAGAGGCCATCAATCTTCTATTGCCCAGCTATTTCAAAGAACCTGGGATCACTGTGAATACACAGTTTTATTGTTATCTGTTCTTGGGCCCTTCTTTTAACTTCCTTCACTTTCTAGTACTTCCAGATACTATTTTGTCTATATTGAGTCACCAAATGGGTGAATACTTGCTGTGCTTGCTAGTCCTGATAGTAGTGGGAAATACATTTGTGTTTTTACCATCAGAAATAACAAAAACTCTGTTGCTTTTCAGAGATTACCAGAAGAGAAGATTCAATTGCAGATGGTAAATACAAACAAGCAAACAGAAGTTTTTCTTGTGGATGCTGTCTTTTAGGACTGAGTTTTGCTTAGAGATGACAGCTGTACCAGCTCCTTGGTACCTAGATATTTCCTAAGAAAAAAGTAGAAGTTTAAGAACAGTTATTAAAATGCACTGTAAAGCTTTAACAGAAGAATTACTGTGCAAGTCATTCCATGATACAAAATTACAGTGGGAGTATTGCATTTAGGAGGCAGAGTAATACACAACAGACACTTGCCAGGTATGAATTGATGTTGTGATAAACTCTGCATCTATAGATCGTTCATAAAACTGCACAGAGGAACACTTGTGAGCCAGAATAGAGCAATGCTATGTTAACATTAATAAACAAATAACTGAGTTTGTCCCCAAACCAGAACTTGATCAATTCTGAATGCTCAAAGAATCAAAAATTCAAAAATATGACTCCAGGATCATGTGACCCAGAAAAGAATTTCTTGGCCAAGTTTAGTTGCTTCATGGTTCAAAAGCACAATAGCAAAAGTCTGTAGCTCATTTAGAGTACATTTCCAGTACTCTCCTGTTAGAGAAAATTAAATTCACTGCCAGGCAGTGGTTGCCTGGATGCACAGCCCAATGTAAGTGAAATCAGTGTCTAAAACTTGTGATGAATCAACTCCCAAAGGCTTATGTACAGCAGACTGCCTAGGGGTCTTCTCAAGCGCTCAACCAACGAGAAAGCCTTCTGCTCTGAACACATCACTGGAAATCTGGTAAAATATTCAGCTCTTTCTGACAATACAGTCGGAGAAAGAACAGAATTTGGCAACTCTGCTCACAACTAGCATAGAGCAAAATGCTCTCTATTTAATAATCTCTAAAACCACCTAGCTTGTTCTTACATTGTTCTTTCTATAGCATTATAGCTAGCTATGGGAGACTAATTGTCAGCTACAGTTCTTAATCGGGGAGGTGCAGAAATACTTCAGCACCAGGCTTAAGTAGACTGATGGCACTCACACACTCAGTAATGACGATGGTTATATTATTTGAGCTATGACTTTGCAAAGCACCCAAGAATCAAACTGAAGCTCCCTTGTACTACTGCTTTACTCCTCCACTGTAATTCTGAGGCTATTGATTGTCCCCGACTAGACAGAATAGACCCAGAGTGCTTTAAAACAATTCTGTATTGTTAATGCAACCATCTGATTATGCCTTTTTAAAAAAAACCACTGCTCTTTTTGGGTGATTTTAAAATTGCTAATTTGACCTTTCTGGAAGGCTTGCAGAGCTTCTCTTTGAACAAACAGTTCTACATATCTTCTGCTTTGAGAATCAATGTCAGATACAAAAAGGGAAATAAACTTAAACCTCCTTAAGTTCAGTGTTTGATGGCAATAAAAGACGTTTCTTTTTTTGTAGCATATGACAACAAGGACACTCGCCTCCATCAGTGGACAGTACGGTGGATGGGCATACGGAAGGATGGTAATTTTTTAAAATTTTTTTTTTAAAATTCAACTAATGTCAACCCTGTTGAACCTTAGTCTACGAATAAGACCTCTGGTTCAAAAAAAACTTCTCCCTCTCCCCTGCCCCTGACATGAGTACTTTGTTGAAGTGCACCAAGGCTTCTTGATGAAAATCATCAAGGCTTCTCCTAACAACTTGTGTGCATGTACGTTTGGCAGTTGAGTCGAGCGTATGAGCCAGCTCGTGCAAACAGACTTTATTCACTGAGCGATACACTGTACCTTAAGGTGTATTCGCAAGGGCCGTGCCTGCAGTTGTGACCTACTTTTCCTTCTCTCTTTCAGATGAATTCTTTCATTTTGTCATTCTTTGCTTTGCAATTGGAGCTTTACTAATTTGCTACTACTACTACAAAGGTAAGGCAAGACTTGTGCAGAAGGATAAGTTGTTGCACACTAGAAAAATGGACAAGGCCAAATATTTATTTTGTTGCCTTAGATTGGACTATTTCTCTTGGAATCGGTTTAATCACCTTTGCTTCTCTGGAAACCACTGGGATATACTTTGGTCTAGGTAAGTGTATCTACAGCAGCCAGCTCTGTACCAACACCAAAGATACAAGGTCACACAGCCATTAAACTACGCAAGTCTATGAAACTGCTAGTGCTGAGATTCCATAAATCGTCACATAACTGTCCCGTAACATCTCATTCACAATTACACACCGTGGCTGGAGACAAACATGCCTTACTGACACTGAAGGGAGAGTTTGACTCATTTTTCGTTCTCCATGATCACAAGACCCTGAGTCACCTCTTTTCTGCAGCAATGGCTGAATACTAAGTTGCCATGACAACATGTAATTTTAGCAGCAAGGCAGTCTTCCCAGATACACTCTGTAAGGTGCTGCGCACTCAGGCTGCCGTCCATTCCCCTGGGACTGAGGCAGCTGAACACCCTGAGGAAGTGCTCTCAGCAGAACCTGGATGGCAGCAGCACCTGAAAATGCTAAAACATGGGCATTCTTGGCAATCCCTAGGGATGTCGCAGGGAAGGTGCAACTGGCAGCAAGTTAAAGCTTCCCAACTGAGAACAGAAATCTCCTTTGTAATCTTGTGCTAATATTTTTGATAGGTTGTGGAATCAGCCCTGTCACTACTATGTTATTAATGATATTGTAAAAATGCTTGTTTAAACCATAATCTTGGGTTCATTAATATTGCAAGTGTCAGTGTTTGGTTTTTTGCCATTTTGGTATTTTTTACGTTGCTATGTATCTGGCTCATCCTGAAAAAAAAAATGTTTGTTTTTGCAATTAGTGTATCGAATTCGGAGCGTACTTGACAGTTTTGTTCCTCTGATTGACAAATTCAGGCCAACAGGTAATAGTGATCTTCTTACTGACTGCATGCACATTCCCTAGACCTTCCCCAGTACTTAATTTTGGCCAAGTCTTAAGACTAACTCCTCTAACTTACAATTTCCAATCTTTTCTTTATTAAACAAAGATAAATATTTTACTGCAGCTCATTATAGCTGCTTGGGTTTGAAAATGAATTTTTCTTGACTCTTTCCATGCAGCACAGCATTTTCACATTTTTGATACTCTGCCCTATATGGGGTATTAACTATTTCCTGACAATGTCTGAATAAGGATTCTAGAGCTCAATTAAAAATGCAGGGAGTGGGGGTAGGTTTCTCTTTTTGGGTCTTCAAACAGACTCCAGGCTCATGTTTATCTGTGGTTCATGAGCACAAAATACGAAGAATGCTGAGGATATGCATAGATATGTGACAATTCGAACACAGTAGTCCTGACAGTCATCTTTTTCTTTACCATGCAGGTATGAGGAAAGCTGCCTAGGAGCATTATTTCAGGAGAGTTCCACAAAACCCTGCTGCCTGAATTTCTGGTATTAAAAGAATTGCTTCATGAGGCAAACATAAAAACCTCATGGCTAATGTGAAATACTGAAATGTTAAACCATAGAAATACACCATTCCCTGCCCTCAAAAATAAAGCTGAAACTGCGTTACAGGGGCCCAGTCTTTCTTCTGAAGTGATTTGTGGCTCAGCAGAGCTCATAAGACAACCTAGATGTAGGTTTGTATTTAATTCCATTAAATATAAACACATTCTCCTTCCCTCCCCCATGCCACCAGGTTAGTCTGCCCATGGTATATCAAAATCAACAAAATGGCCAGTATTATCCTCTGCTGGTTCTGGATTAGGCTCTGGATGTTTCAGAAGGAATCTTGGCAACCACAGAGCCACCTCCTCTTCACCCCTTGTGATGCTGCAAACCAGGCAAACACCAGCTGCTTGCTTACACAGTTGAGCCCCAACAGTGCAACAGCACTGAAGCAGATTAATTTATTGTGGCAGAACTCAATATAGTGGGTGTATAATGATTTCACCCAGTGAAAGCTGGGTGAGATTTTTACATGCAGTGACATAATGGAGCAGTAATGAGATTATTAGCAGCAGCAAATTTCATCTCTTGTTCTGAGGGGAAAAATAAAGTGCTTGATTTGACTCAGCCCCCAACATTTTCCTTTCTTTGAATAAAATAAAGTGCAACTTTGACATTCCTTCCGTTTTACGGGGACATGTTATGCATTATTGATGTAAGGCTAATGCAATCATAAGCAGACTGCAAAAAAAGGGATACCTTTACATTTTTAGTAAAAATGTAAGGTCTTCATACCCATAGGAAGGCATCAAGGCAGATGCAATGAGCCACAAAACGTGAAATTGTAAGGAAACGTAGATCTAAACTCCATTAGCCTAAATAGCCCAGAGTTCGAGAGAAGTGATTTCAAGCCTTGCTCAGAAAATTAAACCACTTACTTTTTAGTTGTACTTAGTTTTAAATTCTAAGCACCAGTGTTGATCATTCTTGTGTATGGCAGTTCCATTTGCTCATCCAGAAATATCAGCAATTGTACACAGGCCTGTACCAACGCAGCGCAGCCATTACCTAACACGTCAGGGGTTAAATTAAGCAATAACTATCAATACAAGTAATTTTGTAATATTTATATCCTCATTTAGGTACACTAGTTACATGTCTTTCTAGAAATAAGTCTGTCATACCAAAATACTGTATATTTTGTGTTGTTAGCCTGCAAATTAAAGTCTTGCTCAGACGAGTGTAGTGTTGTCAATGTGAAATGGCTTTTGGGTGAACTGAATACTATGCGTAGCCACCCTGCTCTGATAAAAAGTACTTTTTTAGTTCCCTCTGCTGTATAACATCTTTCTGAAAGGTAGTTTGTGGAATAGTCAGGATGAGAGATGTATTTTAGTACTAAATGTGTTTTCAAATTTGGTACTCTGCAGTCACAAAATTAATTTTAGTTATTTTTTTGTAAACAGAAGCTGCTTAAGGGTAAAATAAGCAAAACACTTAAAAATAGCAAAACATTTAAAAATCACCCAGTGGAACCCATCATGCGAGACGAACAGCTGACCTAACTTCGAGCAGCTTATGTGAGAAGAGGCGGTTCTATAGAGGAAAAGCAACTTAACATGTTCAGCCACATCCTCTCGGGTACCTGGGAATTTCCTGCTGTTCTTTCAGATCCTTCCCCTGGAGTCCCACCTCTGGCCCAGCGGCAGCGCTCTCATGCTGGTCTCACGTATCACCTGCTGCAGCACTGGCCAAGCACTCAAAAATACGATACACATTCCTATTAAGAGTTTCAGCCTCCCTAAAAGACTTCATGCTCACTTTCTCCACACCGAGCAAGTCCCTCCGGAGCCCACGGCTCCTCCTCATTTCCAGAGCTCTGCTGGGCCTCCACCTCCCCCCATGGGTTCCCCAGGACCTGGTTCCTTCCTCTCTGACATTATCCAGTGCATAGGGTGCTTCCCTCGTGTCTTTGGTGTTAAATGGCTGGGGGACAATGCAGAGAGGAGGAACTGAAGGAAAGACACAAGCCACTCCCCTCCTGCAGTACCTATTCCTGCTTTTTGCTACCCAGTGCCTAACTTCTGTCCAGAAGAGGGGCTGGTGACCTCTTCTGGCAGCAAGGGAAGAACTCTGTGTTTTTGCCAAACTGCCTTCAAGACAGGATTTTAATCTTCAGCAGTAAGTTGGACCAAACACTGAACCACAGTTACCCGATTCGCTCTAGGCTACGACGCCCAACGTCCATGTCCCTGCTGACTCAGACCTTCAGCGAACACCCAACCACTCCACGCTAGAGCTCACCGCAGGGACAGTTAGTGGCAAAGCAGAAAACGCTCCTGCGATACAGCAGGCAGGCAAAGCACTGCTGCCCACAAAGTGTTAAACTACCTGAAAGTTCTTCAATGACCGAAAACATTCAGATGTTACCCCACTGCACAAAACCCCACAGATTAAAAAAAAAAGAGATATTAAAAACCAGAAGGTTTTTTAAGCTGGTATTTTTATTAGAACTCTCTACATAAAGCACCTTTGCCTGCCTTAAACTTACAGTACTTCTCCGAACCCTGCGTATCTGTAATACAGCACAGGATGCTTCAAACTACTCTGCATTTCTTGATTTGGACACTGCCAACTTAACAGCTTGCATAATGGCATCTTTATCAATGCCAAACATCTTCAGGAGCTCAGTTGACTTCCCGCTGCGTGGTACATGAGATACAGCCAAGCGATTGACTGTGATACCAGGCTCACCCACTACTGCGGCGCACACTGCTTCTCCAATGCCACCTGTGGAAAAAAAAGAAAAAAAATAAAACATGACCTACACCTGTATGCATCAACAGGCAAACATACTGGTGGCAGGTATATCCGATTCCAATGCAGGTTAAATCCTCAATTCACATGCTTATGAGAAACATCAACAAATGTCCGAGTGAAAAGAAAACAATTCCCAATTTCAAAGGCATTCTGAGGACAACCAGCCTGACATTTCTAAAGTACTTACAAATTGGCAGTAAGAAACACACACCTCTAAGGGCACAGAACTGTCAGGACGCCCTCACCACTTCAGCATCAGCCACTGAGGGCCAGGTTTAAAAATACATTTAGACTGAGGAGTATTTACAAATGTACTTTATGCACTGACAGCCTTAATTCCCACCAATCTCAACAGTATTTAAGAGCTCTGCCTTTTCACAATGCCTGTACACGCCGCTAGGCACCTCTCCGAGTTATGTAACATATTCACAACCTTTGCTTAGAGCTCAGCTCAGACTGAATCACTATCAGTCACAGGGACAAAGAACGAAGGCAGAACTGTGCAGAGGCAGGAGAGACATTGGAAGCAGGAGTACTAGGGAAGATGATGACACAGGAATGGCATCAAGAGCATGTGCTCCGAGACCTGGTATGAGAGACAACTTGGTGCTGCACTTCAGTTAGGGTGTATCCAGGAACACAGGGCTTTTCACAGCTCCGGGCAGGGTGTGATTTAACCAGTCAAGCTTAGCCTCCAGCCAGAGGCACCTCCATGGATGTGGCTGGTAAGACCAGCCTGATGTGGGCTTGCAATGCATTCAGGCTTGTGATGCGTGTACACTTGACCTTCCTTGATTGCATCACACATAGAAAGCTGTGCCAGTGTAAACTGCATGTTCATCACCTCAGAGTAGGATGATTTTGCCACCTTGCAAATCTGCAGTAAAATATTTGTCCAGAGTTGAAAGATAAACTGGAAAATGATGGGGGTCAGTGATGCTATCACCATCCATAGTCCAGAACAAAAGTACGGTGTAACCAGCACTTACGGTAACACCAGATCACTTCAGATACCTGGCAAGAGTGATGCTTCACCTTAAAGTAAGACAGTATTCTCATAACTTCTACTCATTTCTATTAGTAGATATCTACAATATCTACTAATGCCATAGTTCACAGCTGCCCCTCTGCTAATTTCTCCATCTCCCCCCAAAAGAAGCAAGCCTGACATGTAATTCACAACAGCTGCTCTCTGTTTGTACACGGTCTCATCTTCATGGGACATGTTTGCTCAGGCAAGCCCCTGAAAACCTTTGCAAACAAGGCATGTCAGAGAGCAAGCGGCAGCAGATTATGGAGTTAACTCCAGTTGGCAGCCGGTCACAAGTGGCGCTCCCCAGGGGTCTGTATTGGGGCCAGTTCTGTTTAACATCTTCATCAATGATCTGGATGAGGGTATCTAGTGCACCCTCAGTAAGTTTGCAGACAACACCAAGTTGGGCAGGAGCGTTGACCAGCTTGAGGGCAGAAAGGCTCTGCAGAGGGATCTGGACAGGCTGGCTCCATGAGTCGAGGTTCAACAAGGTCCTGCACTTGGGTCACAACACCCCCATGCAGCGCTACAGTCTCAGGGAAGAGTGGCTGGAAAGCTGCCTGGTGGAAAAGGGCCTGGGGGTGCTGGTTGACAGGCGGTTGAATGTGAGCCAGCAGTGTGCCCAGGTGGCCAAGAAGGCCAACAGCATCCTGGCTTGTATCAGGAATAGTGTGGCCGGCAGGACCAGGGCAGTGATCATGCCCCTGTGCTCTGCACTGGTGGGGCCACACCTTGGATGCTGTGTTCAGTTTTGGGCCCCTCACTCCAAGACAGACCTTGAGGTGCTGGAGTGTGTCCAGAGAAGGGCAACAAAGTTGGTGAGGGGTCTGGAGCCCAAGGCTGATGGGGAGCAGCTGGGGGACCTGGGGGTGTTCAGCCTGGAGAAGAGGAAGCTGAGGGGGAGACCTTATTGCTCCCTACAGCTACCTGACAGCAGGGGGGGAGCCAGAGGGGAGTCGGTTTCTTCTGCCAAGTAACAAGCGATAGAACGAGAGGAAATGACCTCAAGTTGCACCGGGGAGGTTTAGATTGGATATTAGGAAAAATTTCTTCATGGAAAGGGTTGTCAAGCATTGGAAGAGGCTGCCCAGGGAAGTGGTAGAGTGGAGGTACTTAACAGACGTGTAGCTGTGGTGCTGAGGGACCTGGTTTAGTGGTGGACTTGGCAGTGCTGGGTTAATGGTTGCACTTGATGATCTTAAAGGTCTTTTCCAGCCTAAACGATTCTATGATTCTAAATAAAATCCTGGCACAGAAGCTTGTGAGCTTCCAACCCCCGGGAAACACCTGGATGGGCTGTGACCTCCTGGACCCAGCTCACCTTCATGGTAATGGTCCTCAACAGTGATGATTCTGCCCTTGGTGGCTCTTGCATTTTCAAGTATTGTCTTCTTATCCAGGGGCTTTATAGTGAAGGGATCAATCACACGGATGAATATTTTTTCTGCAGAAATAGAATGAAATTATTTTCAACATGAATTTGGAGAATCAAGGCAATATAAGTGGTACAAGCAGCCCCTGCAATCTTTTAGAGCCATTATGAAAACTGTCTACACCAACTCCCAGGTATCTGTACCTATGGCTTGTCTACCACAGAACCCAACCAACCCTAATTTTTGCATGAATTCTTTATGCACCGTGAGATCGTGATATCAATTCATTCCACAGACAAAACTCTTGAGGCAGAAAAGCCTTGGATAAGTAACTCAAGGTCACTAGGAGTGCCCGTCAGCAAAACAGTAATCTAACTGGCCTTTCCAAGGGTAAGAGCAGAATCTAGTCACCAGGAAATCCTTCTTATTCAGACTGTCAATCACAATTTTTCCCCCTGACTTTATTTTACCTTTATTGTCAGGCCAAGCACAATTTCCTCCTGTTTCTTCGGTCTGTGGGCATGCTGCATTCTTCATTGCAGGCTGCCCACCTACCAGGTACGTCTGTTTGAATGGCCCCAGCCTTGACTGTGGTGCCCTTAAGGCTGGGTGTCATCACAAGGCAGGCCCAGATTGCTTGTTAAAGCTATGTACAAATGGCAATTGTTTATAAAGAACAGCGAATTACACAAGGTTTTGTCTGATCTTGGCTAGCTGAACACTGAGTCAATTCTTATCATGCATAAAGAAGCCCTACGTTATGTTGACAGTTTTGTGACTGAAGGCTCTTTAGAGACCAATATATTTTAGGTATTAAACACTGCCTCTACGCTAAGGAGTTATCTCTCCATAGCTGGTGATTCACTCTTCAAGATCAGCAGAGCATCGCGAAGTATGGTAAATGC